GCACCATAAAAATATCCGTGCATAAACCGGAAAGTACTTTACAAGGGGGGGGTACTATACAGAGCGTTTTACGGTATACAGGAATTCGTTAAGGATTGAAATTTCTAAAAGTTCATCAATAACTTTACCAAGAGTTCCAAATTTTTTGAAATCATATCCGCTTGTTTTTTAGTCTTTTTCCATTTTTTTTTTCACCTTATCTGCATCATCTTTCTCGTCTCTTAAGAAATCCCTCAAGTATTCTTCCCGCCCTTTCAAATAGCCTAATAAACACTGATAACTGCTTTAGGATTTCTATCTACGTTAATTTCATTGTTGCTGGTATTATAAGGACGAAACTGAAAGTTCATTGGGCGAAACGTTTCGGATTTTGGAAAATAGTTTCGCCCGAAACACTAATTTATATATCAAACACAACAGGGATATCCGAAGCACCATGTATTTCAAATGCTTTGAAATCCACTGTTGGAATAATATACCATGTGTCGGGGTAATATTTTTGTACTTTTCTAATGTCTCTGAAGTCTAAAATTATATCTTGAGATATAGGTAGTATAATATAATACTCTATATGAATTATATAAATTGTATAAATCTGATCACATAAATGGATAATTGATTATTATATTAATATATAATACATCTTATAAATCTGATCATATAAAAGATATTCTATATCTAAATAATAATTATAATCAATTTCTATCATCACTTCACATATGACATATTGAATATCTGAGTGATAATTGTAACTGTTTCTATTATCAGCTCACATAGACAAAAAAATATATCTAATAATATATTAGATCATGTGTCATTATTTGTAAATCTATATTCAAACTTGGTAAGTAGTACTCTAGCTTTATGATTAATTTCTTTGAGATATATAGTGCTGAAATAACAATTATAATTTTTTATATAATATACTTGAATACTGATTGAGGATAAAACATATAATATGAATTATTATTCATTATTTGATAACTTATTAAAGCATAATTTTATATTTTATATATATGTAATAATTATTTCTTGATAATCCAATTTTTTATTCAAAATAATACTCACTTGGTGATCTGTTAAAGTATAATTTTATATATCTTTTATTTGTAATAATTATATCTTGATGATTCACTAATTTTCTAAAATGTTATCATTATTTGGTATAATTTTATATTGTTACCGTTTCCGTTGATTTATTAACTTTCAAGTATAGATCACGTGTTCTTCACGTGATTTAATCAAGTGAGAGAGTTATTAAAGGCTTTTATGTGTATTTTAAAGTAATTAAGGTTGGAAGAGACTAATTTAATAAAGGTAGGTAACGACGTGTTCGTTTTGTTGAACTGCTAGAATGAGTTCAGAAATCTTCTTT